TGGAATAGAATATCCATAGTGTTAAAGGCTTCTCTCTCATTCTCGGTCTCCCTCTCTCCTTCCCTCACTTGTCCTAAACTGTATATATCACACACTTAAAGTACAAAATATTTCTTCTTAAACCAGATTAAACAAAATATTAGGAACAAAAAAAATGACCTAAAATTGTTGTAATATCAATCAATTACGTGTACCAGAAAGCTTTAACTCTCTCCCCCCTTTCTCTTTCTCCTTTCCTATGTCCCTCCCTCCATTTCTTCCTATCATTCTCTCTCCCCCCCTTATCTCTCTCTCTTTCTCCATCTCTCCCCTATCTCTCATTCTCTCTCTCCATCTCTCCCTCCTCCAAAATTGTAGATATCATACGATCGAGATAATTATGTTTCAAGTACGACTCTGTATCTTCACTCGTCCATCTCACTCTCCTTCCCTATCACTATTTTATCTCTCTCGCTCTCTCTATCTCTCTCCATCTCTATCTATCTATCTCTCTAACCTTCCATCCCCCTCTCTCATTCTTTCTTTCCGTATCTCCTTCCTTCCGTCATCCTAAATTGTATTACAATTGAGACACCTGCATCTCTCTCTCTCTCTCTCTCTTCTTCTTCTTCTTCTTCTTCTTCTTCTTCTTCTTCTCCATCTTCGTTTATCTTCTTCCTCATTTTTTCCTTCTTCATTTACATTGTCTTTGAATTCTACTTCTTCCTCATCTGATTCATCTTCTCCGAATTAGATTTCATCTTTTTCATTTAGTTTTTCTTCTTCCTATTATTATCTCGTATTTTTCCTCTTCCTCATCTGCTTCATCTTCATTTACTCATACTTGTTATCTTTGCATTTACCTTCTTTCTGATATCTATTTTTGTTCTTATTTTTCATCGTCTCTGACTTTTTTTTACCATATTCATATTTTGAACGTTTTTTTTCTCCAATTTTTACTCCTTTTCGTCCCCATCCTCTTCTCTAGTATTTTATGTCTTACTTGAATTCTTATATTCTTCTGTTTTTTCTTAGTCGCTCTCCTTATCTTCACTTTCTTCTACTTCATCTACATCATCTCCTCGTTTTTTTATTCTTCTACTTCATTTTCTTCATTACCGGGTTTTTTTTTTCTTTAACTTTTCCAACTTCTTATTCCTATTTTTCTGATTTTTTTTTATCTTTTTCAACTTTCACATGTTTTTATCCTAATCCTTCTTCTACTATTTTATGCTATCCATTTTTTTTCTTCCAGGTTTTATATGTTTGTCTTTGTCTTTGTCTTCATCCTCGTCTATTCCTGCATTGTCTCAGATGAAGGCATGCAATTGATCAGTTTCCAGCAAACCTCAACGACTGAAATATTTAATTTTCTCCTAAAATGGTCAAGTGAAAGACACTTATAAATGTCTTACTTTGAACAAAGTTCTCATTGACATCACTAATTCTTACACAGTAAAAATGACATTCATTTTATCTCCTGAACAACTCTTTTCTCATAAAGAAAGAGGAAAAAGGTTAACCTGATTAACTCTATCTCTAACTTGCGCTAACTAATATTCGTCTTTTCTTGTTTTCAGATAATATTCCCTTAGACCAGAAGTCCCATAGATGAAGGTATCTTCAGGACAAGGGATCGTTAAGCAAGCCACCAATGGGATGATCGAACCTGAACTCTTCCTCGAATTTACTAAGCAAAGCTTGAAACGAAGACTGGCTCAATTTTGAGTCATGAACTATATATCACTTCTTCTGGACCTGGTCTGAGTCACCATACACCGCAAGAAACCCTTTTGGCATTACAGAAGGGCTAAGAAACTTATTTGCACCCAAGAGACCTCTCACTTCAGCAGAGATTTGGCTAAGCCCCTGAATTATGATACAAAAAGGATTAGCACATCTATAAAGAAGGAAGATTAGTCAATAAGGACTTACGTGGAAATGCTGTGTGCCATAAGGACTTACGACCATCGTGTACCATATAAGAAAGAGAGACAATGAAGATTTCATTGAGGTAGCTGAAGAATAAAAGTGTGGAAAAAGACATTCAATAATCAATTATATCATCTAATGGCCATGACTCATGGTATATTGGTTTTGAAATTTTTTTGAGTATAAGAAATAAAAGATACAACTGCAAACTAAATGTGAAAAGCAAAAAAATCGTGGCAATGAATCCTTACTTTAGAAGTTTGCTGGTCAGTGATAAGCTTGTCGGCAACCCCAAAAAGTTTTTGCTGAATATTTTTATTACAATGTTTTTCCCTATCAGGAGGGGGGGGGGAGTGGAAAGCAAAAT